TGGACCTGCAGCCTACATGTTATGAACATTAGGCCTACTACTCGTACAATTTTAATTATTCTTGCAAAGTTCGGCATGGAACATTAATAAGTTATTGATCACGCTTTAGAAGTTATATACTATCACTAGAATTGTAAAAAAAAAATAATAAGTTAAGTGCTGTGTTTGCTTCTGGTAGGCCTTATACCGATTACACATTAATTTTAGTTAACCTTCAGTATATTCATGCAGACAGACCATGCACGTATACTTCCATGAAGAGATCTACCCTGGTAATAAATAAATAACAGAGTACTAACATTAAGGTGATCCAGTTGAGTGGATAGGGGCACAATGCCGCTGAATCATTTTTAAAATTAACTTGCCAAATTTTAAGTAACATAAACATTATTAACTTGAACATATAAACATTAATGTCTTTAAAAAAGGTTTACCCGTCATTTTACAAAGGAAATGATAAAAACACTTTTAGTCAATGGAAGTGTTTCATTATTTTTATTATAATTATCCAGTTTAAAAATAAGGGTACACATTTTTGAAATTCAATAATTTCTTTGCTCAAGTTCAAAATTATTTTTATGATTTTTTGTCATTTTCTAAGTACTGTATTAGTTGCTGTATGTTGGCTTCATACACAATTTATCAGCACTATCAAATAAATGGTAAGAATTTTATATTTGTATACTATATTACAGGGTGTATCTAGGCTAGCCCAATATCGTAACTGTTTAGGCTTGCTTTATATATTTGGTTATATTTTGTTTTAGCTAGGATAACCTAGGCCAGCCAGGCCCTCTGGCCCTAGCCTAGTAGTAGTAGCTCTAGAGTACTGTAGGGTAGTGTAAGAGCATAGTTAGCATAATTATTTACTTGTTTATGCTAGACTGCAAGTTGGATGTGTGGGCTAAGTTTGAATTATTAGCGGTAATTTTTAATCGCCTAGGCCTAGACTTAACTTTGCAAAATGGCCACGTCCTGTGTTGAAATGCTGTAATAGGTCTATATTATATTAAATATAATGTTAAAATGTGGTTGCATGAACCAAGCACAAAAATAAAACAGCTATTTATTAATATTGTGTTTAATAATTCATCTTATATCATAGGCCTACATACTGCCAGTGGTATAATATCCACATCACTGTCGTGTCATCAGTAATCATTTTCTTTTTTTCTGTTTTTAAAGTTAATAATGTAAATTTTTATATTTTCTTTTAATAAAGAGAAAATTTAACTACAGTAAATATCTTATGATAATATTAACATTATTTAACGCTACGGTTAGTGTAATTAATAATAGAAATATAAAAATTGATATGGGTCTAATTTAGTTGTGTGCATAGGTCTAACTATAAATAAAATGGTATTTCTTTCAGGTTTTCAATCCATTGAAAGGAAGTCATGTTTGTTGCAATATATTGTTTGTGGTAGACACTGGGAAAAAACCAACTATTGAATGTGTATTTATTTGTCTCCTGGTACAAAACTGATGGAAGAGCAGCCATGATGAAGCAGTAAAAAGGTATATAAAAATTTTTATTTTACAAGAATATATACTGCACATATACACCACTATCCCACATCAGTAAGTGACTACCCTACTATGTCACAGTAATAACCATTTGTTTCTTAATTAAGTCTTGGGTACCTAAGAAGTCACAGCATTTGTCTTAATCGTCGTTGTACGAAGGTGATTAATAAGTTAAAATTAATTGGGGACAGTCTAATCGTAAATATTATCTTAACATGCTAAATATTCTCCAACGATAAATGGACCTAACTTCGTAGTATGATGCTGTCAGAGAAAAATGTATTTAAGTCCATTATTAACCCAGGCAATTACCATACTCTACTACACAACATTTAATTTAATATTTTGCATATCAAAAGTAATAAAACTGAATGAATATGTGTTTTAAGGTAAGTGCCACTCCCTATAGAGAAATCTCTTACTGTCCATGTTTGCAATATTATATTCCATAGTGAATATTTTTCAGTATTTGCATCATTATTGGTAATGCCTGCAGTACAGTATATCAATGTAGATTGGTCTGGGAAGAACAGTTGTTTCAACTATCTACATAGTATTCAAGTATTTACTATTTTAAAATTTACCATACAAACTTTAAAACAATATTTCAGTCTTCTTTGTTTCAAATATTTTTGTTTTGTTTTTATCTTTCACAAAGGTTCTTGGATACCTTGCTTCAATAACTCTGGTTGGACAAGAAAAGACCTGGCTAAGGATAGTAGAGGGTCAAATGATTTATCACCAAGAAAGTTACTGATTTAAACCTAATCCTGTAACGCGAAAGATTCCTAATTATGCTAAGTGTGCAATATTAGGTCAGTTAAGTTATACCTCCATGGTTAAGACGACAGTAATGCATGATAAGTATATTTTGAAATCTACACATAGTAGCTGTTTTTATAATTATTACAAAAACTCTGATTTAAACATGCCTGTATAGCTACGATACATAATATTTAATGTTTTTTGCAAGTTTCAATTAAAGAAAAATGGTCAAGTATATTTTAAACTCAGTGTATTTTGTAAGTTTAAAGGAATAAACATTGACATTGACTCAACATTAAAAATTTACATTGAATTAACATTGAACATATTACATTGAATCGACGTTGAAATTTACGTTGATGAAAACTTTCATATACAACAAAAATTCAACGTTGATTCAACATTGGTTATTTGACGTTGTTCCAAAGTTAAAAAATTAGCATTGAAAAAACCTTAGACATTTTACGTTGAATCAACGTTGAGATTTACGTTGATGCAAACTTTCATATACAACAAAAATTAAACGTAGATTCAATGTTTGCATATTACGTTGAATCAACGTTATTTCAACCAAGTTGTGCCCACTGGGAGTATGCCTTTGGTGCGATGTTAAAATGGTAGTACGTTACGTTGTTGGCCCGACGTCGGTAAACGTCTGAAAGGATGACTCAGTACTACCGTTGGGCTCATGTTGGCTTCAGGTTGTCAAGAACATTGCGAGGTGCCACGTGTGTGTCAGTACGATAATAACAAGATAAATAATTTGATATACCTTGATAAAGACCTAAGGATAGGTCGAAATATTGGTACAGTCAACTCTCCCAATACCGACCACCCAGAAAAACGGATTTCACGCAAAACCGGTCGTTTTTTAAAGTCCCAAAATCATTCCTATTCTTACTGTATTAAAATACTTTCTGAAAACCGGATCTCCCAATTCCGGCCAAATTTTTAAGTCTGGAACAATAAAATTACCTTCTGAAAACCGGACGGTCAGTTTAAAACAATGATTTATCACATCGACTGTCTCCAAATAACAATTATCAATCACAGAACAACACCACATGTACGATTGTTAGTGTTGATCGTGTGACACGCCGATAGCGCATTAATTAATAATTTGCAATAAGCCTAATTTGCACATTCCCTGCTTATGCAGTTTGAAGACCACCTATTTTACTTCGTAATGTTTTCTCTCACGTTGAGAAAGTTTTGAGATTCTGACAAGCACTGTTGTCACAAGCATTTAATACTAACATACAGATAAGTGAAAAAAAAAAATAGAAGAGAAAACAATGAGAAGTAGGTATATATAGACAGCAATAACACATATACTGCCTGTGGTAAAATAATTCAAATAAAAAATCTAATTGAGTAATCTATTATTAATGAGACACAATTTGAAAAAAACAATTAATTACAGTATTTAATTCATTTTTACTACAAAAATCCAGAAAACTGGACACAAGTGGTGAGACGTCTGTGAGAAAATTGATAATAGAGCAGTGAAAACTTGCCAATATTATGAATTTGCAGGAAATGGGTTATTTTCCGGGAGATCCTTGCTTAGTTACGGGAGTGTGGGAGGCCGTCCCGATATCAAAGAGACTTCTCCATGTTGCGGGAGATTTAGGACCCCTGACAAATGGACTTACTACCTACTACGACACAGATGGTCCACTGCTTTGTCTGTATATCTTTTATTGTTCTTTTAGCAGGGATGGGGTTGAGAAAGGGGGAAGGGGCTACTGAATACACAGTTCTGTTCTTTCATAGTACTGTATATCTTCACTAACCTTCTAAGAAAACAATCTATTATAAATGTTAAACATTATTATTTAGATGTGTCAAGAGCCACAAGTTTATGTTAGTACAACCTTCACAGGTTTAACTTAATACTACAGTATGTATTTTAAAATGTATTTAATATAAATATTTTGCCAGATTATATAAATATTTTGCCAGATTAATGCCTTTATTAATGGAACTACTGTTCACATTTCATTTTGATGAAGTAAAAATCCCAAGGGACTAAAGCCATTAACTGTCACTAGGGCTACATTCACACTTGCACTCTAGCCAGGCATAACTGAAGCATGGAGCGAGTCCCACATCTGGTGTGAACATATTGAGTATGCATGTTACATGGGTTAAAGGTTAAACTAGCTCCACTAATTGAAACCATCAGACACTACTGTGTTGATAACTGTGGTCACACTTTGACCAATGGCAGCTATCAACACATTGTTATAGCTGCGATTGGTCACACTTTGACTAGAGGTTATAGCGACAAATATCAAGCAAAGGTCAACCTGGTTACCTTATCTGGTTTGGGTTGTCTAGGTTAAGAGCAATCTCATGACAGCATGAATCATTAACTTAGTCTAATTCTGACCCCAAACTTCTCACTTGGAAAAAGTCAAGCCTGGATTGATTGTCATTAAACCTGACTCTCCGATCGTAGCATTGCTTGATTATTTGTTATGAAAGCATTGACCAGATTTTCTAATAAAAATATACACAATGTCAAAACAGCTTTAGTAAAAACTAACTCAAAGGTTAGTAGAAGCAAACTCAAAGGTTAACCTAGATACCTTATCTGGTTTGAGTTGTCTAGGTTAAGGGAAATCTCATGACAACAAGAATCATTAACTTTGTTTAATACTGACCCCAAATTTCTCACTCGGAAGTCGTCAAGCCTGGGTTGACTGTCATCAAACCTGGCTTGACTATCCGACTGTAGCATTACTGGATTATTTGTTATAAAAGCGTAATGGAAATATACACAATGCCACGAAAACAGTATTAGTAGAAACTCACAAGTTTCACAAAACTGCCCAGTGTAGCATGATGAACAGGTACATGTGTATGCTGTACAGGAACCAGCAACCTG